GAAGTAATCAATATCTCTGATTCTGTGGATGTGCTTAGTATATATATTGGATGTGTAAAGTGCAAACATACTGTATTCCAAGGAGAACTTTACTGAGTTGGAACTGGCAAAATTTGGCCCAGAATATTACTAAGGTAGTTGCAGACAGCCTGTTTCATCTGCAGATTTCTGTGTGGCGCTAAGATGGTCTTTTTCTTATGAAAATGATGAACCGAACTTATGGGTAAATTTACTTCTTATAGCCAACAATAAAATGAACCAAATCTCCAGGCTTTCTAAGAAGTACTTTAAATTAAAAATGAAATTGCTTTCCCTGTTACATTGTTCCAGACCACTTCACCATTCTTTTTAGCACTACTGCTGCTCAGACATTTGAACACTAAGAACAGCTCTTGCAGGTTTCTGCTGTGGAGGATAAGGTATCTTAATTCTTCATGATATCGAAACACTTTTTACCATTCACTGCACGTGCACCACTACTTTTTCCACGAGTACCTCAAAGGAAATAGAGATTTTTAAAACACTTACAGTTAGGAATGATGCATTATTTGTAAAGAATGTATGGGAAAATTTTCCACTTTTGAACCACAGCCTTGAAATATGCAGCTTTCCTAAAGGTAGCTTTATCATCTTCTTATGACTTTTGTTTCTTACTAAAAATGATGTTACAGAAATTTTAGCAATAGATCTTCATGCTACTCATCACAAAATCTGAATATATTTCAGGGCATTTTGACAGTTTCGCACATTACACCAGTACTTAAGAAGCTTCACTGCTGTCGGTAAAGTATAGAACTAATTGATTCTCCTGCTCACGTCCAGGGCATTGCATGGTCTTGCCCTGCCTTACCTGGATACCTTCAGTTCTTCACATGCTAGGCACCTCCCGCATTTTAGTTTTCCTAATGTCTCATCTGTTTTGAGTGTGTGCACATAAGTCCTGTTTTTTCAGGTCATTTTGTTATGCTCATGAGTCACTTAATGAATTTCTTCTCATTTCATGTGATGGCTGCAACTGCATTTACTAAAAACTGAGTTCTACTGAAAACATATTATCAGTCTTGCTTATAGCTGTCTGCATAATGGTTGTGGGTTTTGGTTTTTTTTTTTTTTCGTGTTTTTTTTGCAGCTCTGTGAGATGCATGTATGATAAAATGTTGTATAATCAAGTGAATCTCTCTCTTCAAAGGATTGATGGGGAGATACAGCAGGATTTTGTTGTGCCATAAATGAGATTCTGGATTTAATTTGTAGTCTTTTACAGCCTGAATCTACTGTGTTTGCAGCTGATGTGTGCAGTCAGGCTGTCCTACAGTCTTTTCATTCATGTGGCTGAAAGTCTATGCAAAAATCGGATACATTTAGCTGTGGCATGGTCCTCTGAGGAACTCCAAGGCAAAATTATGGGAAAAAAAAAATGAGGACAGAAGGAGCAAAACCAAACAACATTTTACAGCTTGATTTATCAAGAAAGATTAGCTGTTAAGGTAAAATCAAAAGAGCCTAGCTGTTTGAATGAACCTCTGCAATATAGCTTGCTCTTTAAAATTCTAAGAATAGACTCCCTTTTTTTGAACTTGTATCTTCTCAGAGAATGCTGATATCTAGATACAGGGGGAAAAAAATCTAGTCTGTTCTTAAAGTTTCATTTGAATAAATAGGAGTAACAGCCTTTTTGTCAAACAAAATATAACTTGTCTATCCTTAAAGTGATTCTGTCAGATTTGTCTCTTGAGTCTCAATTAAGCTCTGTAAAATAAATGCACACTTCTAACTTGTCTTCTAGAAAGACAAAAAGATAGCATTGCAATAAAGTTCAGCCTTTCTCCTGCCTTTTTCCTACTCTTATTCCTACACTTATTTTTGGATCAGACGCATCTCCTTTTCACATTCTGTATTCCTCAGCTTTATTTCTTCCCCTTTCCAGACCAAACAGTATTATTCAATGACTGTATGACAATCGATCCCCGTAAATGTGACTAGCAGTTCTTGCACGCAGCAGTTCTTCCCACTGTCTTGCAAATTACAAACTAGAGAGAACTTCTGCATAGGTAATGCAGCATATACATTTCAGAAAGCACCCCCTTTCTTTAGAGAGCCATAAATCTACATTAGAGTATCTGCAGCCATCACCCCAGTTTATAACTCTAGTTTCAGACTACAAAATGATAAACTTTTAAGCACGCTTGCCATAGAATTTGAGATGCCATTTAATATCACTGTTTCCTTGAAATTTTATCTAAAATAAAAGAATTATTTAAGATGAAACTATGTAGTATTTTGTCACTGAGAGATGGCTCAGCAGTGCGATGTGCAGCTGTATCTGCAGTGCACCTCGTTACACAGCTCAGGAATATACATAGCATGTAAGCAGATGAGTCTTCAAAAATCCCAGTCCCAAACCAGTTGAATACTCTGTTATAGCAAGCAGCCTTCTGTAGAAAACATTACTTTATCTGCTGCTTCTAACAGCTCTTTCGGAAAGGCTTGTCACATGGCTAATATACTGCCTTTTCTCCCCCACCTTGGGAGTTTCTGATAGCAGCAATTGCTGAGAAAGTTCAGATGGGTGCAGTAGTTATTTGTAGCTTGACTGCTGCCTAATCACGAGGCTGCTAATTTAAAACTATCTTGTCTTTTTGCTGTAGTACTTTTCTGCAGTGACTTGCAGTGCCGTCTCTACATCTGATAAAGTTTGTATCTCAGATACTAGGAGCTCCTATGTACATGTCCCGTGTAGCAGCACACCATGTACTAATTCCTGCCACAGATGTGGCTCTCCAGAGGCTTTTTTTTTCATTCTCTGAAGTTTAAAAGGAGTAGCTGCTTTCATGAAAAGTTTTTCTTATTCATGTTCAAATGTGTACCACTGAATGCATTGAAGTAATACTTACATTTGTAGATGTGTGCATCTCAGAATGTTTATGACCTACTTTCTTTGTCCGTAGAAGTCTCCTATAAGTTGTCCATAGCTATGTTTAGAGCAAGTTGGGCACACATCAGATGTGAATGTTTTGCAGTAAGAATTATTCCCCCAATCACAGGTCTGCACTGGGTCTGGTCTGCTGAGTGATCTGGGGCTGTCCTGGCCAAGGAAACAGGTCGCCCCTGGCTTGTCTTGGGAGCCCAGCTCTGCGGCCATCCCAGCACTGGGCAGTACAAGCGCTGGGGGCAGCTGTTGTCATCTCCTGCCTAGGAGCTCCTGCAGAGTTCTCTTTACTTCTGGTTTGCAGAGAAGTGTATCCTGTGGTTTGTAGAGTCAGGAGGGTTGAGTACTCATGGCTACAATTACTTGGCTTAGGTGTCAGTTTCTGAAAATCACAAGACAGACTGTTCAGTTATAGTTAGAGCTGGCCTGACAGCCAACGCTTCCTGCTCTGGCAATTCTGATCATCTTAAATTAAGCAATTGAGCAGATCAGAATATGTCTAACAAATTTTTCACAGTAGCTACACATTGATTCCTCCTTCCTGGAATCTAAGCAAATTTCTCCTGGAGTCTAGGTTTTATTCTTATGTGACCTTGAATAGAGCAAGTTTAAATTTGATTGGTATTTGCTTCAAGAAGACCTATGATTTGGTTACTTACCTCTATTTAGCTGATAACATTCCAATTTGAAAACGGCTTGTCTCTAAATATGACAGATGTGTTGTAGTTTATATAAGGTACAAATCTGGAGCTGGTGCATTTCTCCTGCATGAAAGTTATGCTCACAGCAGTACCTGCACTGTTGCAGCTATTTTTAGAAGCAGTCCCGCTGGGTATGTCTGTGCCCTCAGCGTAATGTAGAAAGCAGCAGTACTGAAAAGGTGTTCCATTATTTAGAAGGCAAATGCTAAGATTCATTGTTCCTTCTGTATCTATTATGCAAACTACAGACACAACATATTGTACTAAATTAAAGAGTAACGGAACTGAAGTAGACATAGTATTGCTGAGGTTATTCTGCTGTCAGCTCTGCATTAACAAGTTCTCCCTACCACCCCAGAAAGGGGCATCCCTTTCCCCCAGTCTTTTCTTAGAGTTTTAATTCAACGTTGTTTTTTTAATTTTAATTCTTGTTGCTCTTGTTTTTCTTTCATGAAAGACCCACGAGTGTGAAAACTGCTTTATAAATTCCATCCCATTTATAAATAAAGGAATTGCCCCAGGATAGGAATGCACTGAGACAAGTACTCATTTCTCACCATTGAGGTGCTAGGTCTGGCAAGAGGCTTGGTGGCTGAACTCCCAACTTTAATCCTCATGTTTGTGCTTTAGAAAGCGGTTTTATTTACTGAAATATTTTGTGTTTTCTTAAAACTTATAAAAGCTCTCAAATATTTTTGTGCTTGCACTGATTTAAGGTACTGTCTTGTTCTGTGCTGTATTGCCCTTATTTTTTATAATACTCATTTTTGCTTGTATTGTGGAAGTGATCATTGCTGTAAATTCTGTGGCAATTAATCCTTTTAACAGGTTATTTATTAAAGATGTTTGAAGCACTGCTGTACAAAGTGCATTCCTCATTATCTAAAAGAATGCAGTAAACTTATTCCTCTGTGACAAGCTCAGAAGCTGTCTGTCTGCTGGTGTGGCTTTTCTGGAGTTCTGCATAACTCCTTTCTAATTCCTGAGCACCAGTGATCTTTGAATTGCATTCAGGTATCCAGTCAGCAGTTGCAAGCAATGACAGCTTGTGGACAACTGCAGTGTAAAAGTAGAAAATGGCAAGTTCTACCTCCCTTCTTAGTGCTCTGTTTATACATGCAGAGATCATCTCTCTGCATAGAGGGCCAGTGCTTCCTAAGTATGTGGCTTTGTGCTCCCATGCTTTTGTGATTAAATGCATAGCTTCTATAAAACCTTTGCATGAACAACATGTGTTCTCTTATTGGGTGTCTGTTTTTCAAAGCACAGAGTGGAATAGCTTCAAGCAGGAGTGATGAAAATAAGTGTGAAGTTGCAGTGGAAAGTGTGCTTGTTGGGTTTTAATTGGTATCTCCATGTTCCCTTTCTAGGTCTGATGTAGTTGTTCTCTGCTTTTCAATTGCTAATCCTAATTCCCTGAATCATGTGAAAACCATGTGGTATCAAGAAATCAAGCACTTCTGTCCTCGTACACCTGTCATTCTGGTGGGCTGCCAACTAGATCTCCGCTATGCAGATCTTGAGGCTGTTAACAGAGCCAGACGGCCCTTGGCAAGGTAAAGTTTAAACAAGAATAGGAATTTAAAATGTAAATCAAATATAATAACTTCCAAAGAGAAAAAGCAGAGCATGACATTTCCCTCCTCCCTTTTTTTTTTTTTGGTAAAATTATAATTCGTAATTCTGTTGTTTTGGCTCATTACTTCTTTAACACACACAGTTATTGTATGTTTCCAACAATATTTTTGCTCATTGGATATCAAAACTTGCATGAGTGCCTGGACACTGGCATAATGTAGATAATAATGATTACTGGGGGCTTTCATGTATCTTTCTCATCCAAACATGTGTCATGTCCTACCCTGTCTTTCCTGTCAAGTACTGTTTTAAACAGATAGGTTCTATTCATGTACCTTAATTTTCAATGGGTTTTTCTTTTCTAAACATAATCCTAGATCATGCCAGAAAATAAGTGTTCCAAATTAAACTGGAGATTGAGAGAGTTAGGAGTTCCTGTAGAGAAGCTTTGCTTTTCCCAGATTCAAAAGAAAAACAACAACATTCACATCTTGCTTCTAGTTTCTCCACTTTATGAGAATTCGAATGATACCAGATTCATGAATAGTGTCTGTGAAAATATAGTTAAAGCATCTATTGTGACCTGTTACCATAAGAAGGCTGAATTAATATTACTTGGGCTCTTATACAACTTTACCTTACATTCAAATTCTTGTCTTACAATAGGGTTTTCTTAGGTTTGTTTTTTAAAAAGATGACCTTTGTTGTGGGTGAGCTGGGTTTTGTTTTGGACTTTTTAAAAGGAAATATCTTTCAAAACTCAAAACTATTCTAATCTTCGTTTATGATTTCACTATTAATGAAGTTTAAATTAGGACTCTGCATGTCTAGCACAGACGTTACCACCTGAACTGAATATTAGGTGGCAACAACAGTGAACTGTTGTCTGGAACGTTTTAAATCTGTGCCAGGTTGTGTCTCTCCAATATGATATGCAGTGTTGAGGTCATATCTTCTGGATATTTTTGTTGGGAAACTGGATCCCAGCCCGGATTTTTGCTGATTTGCTGTATCATGTACTAAAGCTGCTCTGGAAATTTATGAGATCCTACAGAATGCTTCTGAACCCAAACTGGGGCCTATCCCTTCATGTCTTTATTCTGTTGCAATTTTGTCATGGGTTACTATGATTTTCTTAAAAAAGCATAAGCCTAAGAAATATTTCTCTTTTTGTATTTAGCTGTATTTGAGGCATTTCTCTGTCATTTTCTCTGTCTGACAGTTTCCCATTGAGCTTGAAGGATGAATACAAAGAAAGATGCTGGTTGAACAGCTGAGTAGAAGAGGATTTGAGGAGGCTTTTATTTAAACAGTGAGAGTTCTAAAGCATCCTTTCAGCTCTTCCTACTGTAAATTTCTCATCAATAGAGAGAACATGCTCCATTTCATGAAAATGATTTTGTATATATTTTTAGTAGCATAATTACTTATAAAGACATCACCGAACTTGAGCAGGATTACATGTGTTATTCTAAAACTTTCTGGTATACTCTGGTATAGTGGTTGTAGATTTCCAAAGGGTTTTGTGCTTTTATTTTTATGCTATATATTTGTTTGAATTATATTTGTCTCACAATTGGTGCTGTGACATTTTGTAAAAATCTGTGCTTTCTGGAGTAACTCTGTAGTGATCATAGTGTGAGGAGATCTGTTTTTGTTTAACCCTAGGCCGATAAAAAGAGGAGACATTTTGCCACCTGAAAAAGGCAGAGAGGTTGCCAAGGAGCTTGGGATACCGTATTATGAAACCAGTGTATTTGACCAATTTGGAATTAAAGATGTGTTTGACAATGCAATTAGAGCTGCCCTGATCTCCAGAAGACATCTGCAGTTCTGGAAATCTCATTTGAAGAAGGTCCAAAAACCTTTGCTTCAGGCTCCATTCCTACCTCCAAAAGCCCCTCCTCCAGTTATCAAAATTCCTGAATGTCCTGTACCGAGCGTGAACGAAGCTGGCTATTTACTGGACAGCCCTCTGTGTGCAGATGTGATGTTTGTTCTCCAGGAGCAGGACTGCATCTTTGCTCACAAAATTTACCTAGCTACCTCCTCTTCAAAGTTTTATGACCTTTTCTTAATGGAATGTGAGGAAAGTTCAGACTTGGATGAAACACAGTGCAATAAAGAAAATACAAGTAAAGATGTTCTGACAAGTCACCTTGAGACAAATTATGACAGTGATGAGATATCCTTGAAATCTGTTGATGTTAAAATTCCTGCACCAGAAAGTACTGATTCTTTGAACATGCTCAAACCCGAACTTGGTGAAACAATTTCTGCAGCAAGATCTCTGTCATCCTGGGGTAAGGGGTTTGTTAGTGTGCATAAGGAAATGCAAGTGAATCCTGTCTCAAATAGGATGTGTCCTGTAACTGTGGTAAAAATGGATTCCTCTGTGCAAGCTGGACCTTTTAAAACTGTTCTGCAGTTTTTATACACAGGGCAACTGGATGAAAATGAAAAAGATCTCACAAGACTGGCTCAAATTGCTGAGATCTTGGAAGTATTTGATTTGCGAATGATGGTGGAGAATATTATGAATAAAGAAGCCTTCATGAATCAAGAGATTACTAAAGCATTTCATGTCAGAAAAGCTAATCGGATAAAAGAGTGCCTTTGCAAAGGGACGTTCTCTGGTGAGTAAATACACACTTTAACAGGCAAAGTATTAATTCTCTTACTCATGTTACTGTCTCTTCACGTACTTCAAAAGCTTATGTTGTTCTGAGAGGAGAACAAAGTTAGTGTTACTCATGACCAGCTTTGTCAGCTTGGGATTCTGCAGTTTAACTTCTTCAGATCTATACAGAAGCTTTTAAATAAGTGGCTGAATTTTCCCAAGTGTTGAACAGCCAGCATCTCCCTTTTAAGTGAGGCTTTAAGGTATTATTTTTACTTAACTGTGTAAAACCCCAGGGTTATCTTGGAGGAGAGAGAGAAGTTCTTGCTTAACAACATGTAATTGATACATGCATTCTTGAGGCACTTTCACTTTAAACACAGACTTGCAGCATGCCTGTTTCTTTGTCTCTATGGCAGATGTGACATTTAAATTGGATGATGGAACCATAAATGCCCACAAGCCACTACTGATCTGTAGCTGTGAATGGATGTCTGCAATGTTTGGAGGATCATTTATCGAAAGCTTGAACAGTGAGGTATTTGTTCACTCTTTAATAGAGTTTGATGGATACTGGGCAATGGAAGCATCATTCTGTAGCTACTTGAATGGTTATAGTAATCCCTGGGAAGATTCTTTGTTTTTTCCATGAAGATAAGGGATACTTTTCTTTTTAAGGCATTAAATTACAATGCCTAGGAGGATGACATATTTTCTGCCAGGCATGAGACTTCTTCAAAATATGCTTAAAACCTCAAATCCTATTTAAAATACTTAATATTGAAAAAAAATATATATGAATGTCTAATTTCTTTTAAATAAGTTTTAAAGATGTGTGGATATGTATTTATTCAAGTAAAAACATTTTGAAGAATACTTGGGGAGACATTGATATTAAAGGAAAAAATATTTTAAAATATAGAGTATTAAACTAGAAATTAGAGCTGGCTTCACAGTACTTTGGCAGAAAGCAAAACTAATTCTCTACTGTGTTGTCTTTCTCTTGAGTAAAACAGCTATTGAGTGTAAAAGATCTCAAAGTTTTGAATTAAGATTTTTTACTAGAAACTGTATATTTTCAGATGTATTCATGGTCTACACTCCGCTAGCATTTTTTTCCATGTGTCTTACTGTACCTAGATTTGATCTGGGGTTTCATTGGTTCTTGTTTTAATTTTCTTGGTCCATTCTATCATGAAACTCTTACTAAGAGTTCAGGTATTTTGTATTTAATATTCTAGAAGGTTGTGTTCTACTTAGATTTTTCTTGTTTTTTCTAATACAGCTGTAAACAATTCCTTGCCTGGAGGCATGCTGTACAAGTAGTTCATTTTAAAAGAAAACAAAGCAACATAGTTTGATTGTAGTAAGCAACATTTGGCAATGAAGAATACATATTTATTTTCTACCACCTATTTTTAATGATAAACTTAAGTTTTAGCTTATCTTTCGCATGTAAAATATTTAGCTTCCCCTCTGTAGAGTTTAAAGTGTTCTGTAATTAATTTGGAAGTTTTTAAGTACATCTAGATAGGAATTTAATTTTCTTCTCCAACTGGTTTACAAAAACAAAATTACCTACTTTTTACTTATTGCTTTTACTTGAGGCAAAACATTCAATGAATTCATTCACTGAATTTACTGTTCTCTGCATTAACAAAATATGTTAATAATGAATGAGTTTTACAATTAGCTCTTACTTCGAGAGCTGAACATTTCCCAGAGCATCTGATACGCATAAGAGTATGCTTTAGCTATAACTAATCTGAGTTTGAATCCCACCCATCCAGCTGACTGAAAAATTTCCAAGCCCCCAAAGTTAACTGCTAGCTACCTGACAGTGATTAATTCAGTTTTAGCAGGAATTACGTACTGACTGTTTTCAAGCGGCCAGATTAAGTTTTGTTTAGTTCCTCGCCATATTTTTATTATTATTTTCTACTCTGCCATTCTATTTTTTTACTAAAAGATTTTCAGAATACCACTGTGCATTCTTCAGTGCCAGCATCTTATTGAGTCGTGCAGATGTAAATTACAAACTGCTGATTAAAGAGATCAGCTAGCTTGGGCTAGCACAACAACTAGCACAACCTTGAGACCCACAAGAATCAGTTTTACTGTAGGAGAAAGACCACGTATGCGAACTGCAGTTGAGATGCTACAGTGATAGGTTACAGTGAAATTTTCTATTTCTCCTTCCTCTTCTTTTAAGGCAGTTCCATGGTGACAAGGATTTAGAGTTGTGCTGGTGAAAAATTAAATAGCATTTGTCTCAGTGTAGGGAGTTTCATGGCACGGAAGTTACGCTGATGTACGTGTGTGGCAGAAAAGGTTTGCATTTTCTTTGCTTTGTTTCTTCAGTTCTCAGTCCTTTCCCAATTGTCATTTATTTGGATAATTTGGCTATTTTGAAACAAACTGAGAAGGTTTGCGTTTTTTTTGTTGGTTGTGGGGGTTTTTTTGTTTGTTTCTTTTGGTTGTTTTTTTTTTGTGTGTGTGCGTGTATTTTTCTGATTTGGCAATTGTGCCTTTTTTTGCTGGTTGGTTGATTGCTTGCTTTCTTATCCTTTGGTTTCTGTTCTTCTCAGATTTCCCAGAATATCCCTTGCTAGTAACAGATAGATTGTATTCCTTAAGAAATCTACAGAGTGAGTTTTGGCATGGGAAGTGCTCAGCTTCTAACAAAGCCATCCATTTGCAGGCTAGAAAGCATTGTGCAGATTCACTGTTTGACGTGGAGCCAATTCCAGTAAATTGGTAGAATTGTCTGTATTTAAACTGACAAAAGGTCTGACTCTGGAGGTTAACTTGCCTGTTGGCAGCTTACTGAACTTTAATGGCAAATTCCTTTTTTGAAAAATATTTTATTTATATTTCTAAGATGACTTGAGAAAAAGGGACAGTCCAGCAAAGTGGCAAAAGTGATATGACCCTTATATAAAAAATCCTCAATTACTGGAGTTTTTGAGGGTTTTTTTATATGTCTTTTCCAGGTAGTTCTGCCCAACATAAACAAGACTTCCATGCAAGCTGTTTTAGATTACTTGTACACCAAGCAATTATCCTCCACTCAAGAACTGGACATACTTGAGTTAATCGCATTGGCAAATAGGTTTTGCCTTCCTCACCTGGTTGCTCTAGCAGGTAAGGGCTTGTGACCATGTCCAATGCAGTGTCTTCTGCAACAGCTTAAACCTGGTGTAGGGATCCTGCTTTGGCAGGGGGGTTGGACTCGATGATCTCTGGAGGTCCCTTCCAACCCCTACGATTCTGTGATTCTGTGTCTTAATGATTTTGGAATGCACAGGATTTTTTCACATCAAAGAAGATATTCTTTTTCCATGAAAGGAAAATTATAGTACAACTTCATGTTTTCTCTTATGAAAATGTACTTGTCTTCCTCTTGCCTTTTTTAGTTTTGTGCAAAACCAGCTCACTGAAGCATTTTGTGCTTTAAAAATGGGAAGAGTAAACCTTCTCCTTAGCCTTGATGCAATGTCTATGGTTTATAGTATCCATTCTGTAGTTAATAATTTACCTGAAAATAGGATGAACCCTGAACTTTTTGTTTTGTAATAGATGAAGTGCTCCATTATAAATTTCTGTTCAAAGAGGGTAACTGAATCAATTTAAAAATTATCAAAATGTTCATGAGTTTTTTAGAAATACTATATCTCTTTTCACTGCCCAGGTGGGAGAGTTGGATATTTTGGTATACATATGAGTATTCAACCTTCATTTCACTATGAAAAAATGACAGAATAGGTTACTATTCTGGTTTTAAAATTAAGTCCATTCATACCCCAGACCTCTGGGATATATTTTTCTTTGTGTGTAACTTGACATTATTATGAAGACATGGCCAAGGCCAAAACTGCCAGAGATGCTTGAAGCAAGGGTTACATGGGTTAACAGGAAAAAAAAAATTCTAACTACATACCAAATCCTAGCTCTCTTGCAGTTGTGCATCAGGAATGCATATCTTGTCTACGTTGGTTGTAACAGAACAAGTCTTTATTGCCTGATAATTCTTATAAGTAGTTGAAACATAAGCATGTATTTACTATTAAGAATATTTTGTTCTATTTAATTCTTGTTGAAATAATTTTGAGCCCAAAGGCTTTTGCCAGCAGCTTAATCCAGAAGACCCAAATCAGCTCATGTCCCAGTGAACATTCCAGCCTCTAAAATGTTTATGCTTCTAGGAAAGGGTTAAGGAGAATCTCCTGAAGTAACTTTTGAAGGTGAGCTCACATTTAGATCCACAGAAGCAACTAATGTGAGAGGGCCTGAAGTGAATTTTTCTTTATTAGTGCTGTCAATATGCTGTTGCCAAAAACTTGGCTATTGTTTTTGTACTACCCAAAAAAGACAGCTGATGTATTTTTCTAATTTATATTGAAGTTTGCACCTATCCATTCTGCCAGAAGGAGACAGGTGGCTGCTGAATTTTGTACATCTATGAGTGATTAATAGTTGCAGGCTCATTTTCTGCAAGAAAGAGATAACAATTATATGTGAAAACAGAAATGAATTATTTCAATTGAGGCAAAGAGGCAAATACTGGTATGGACTGTCCTTTACTGTAGCAATAGAGTTCATACTAGAACTTCAGCCATAACATATCAGAATCTTCAGCCATAACTGTGAAGGCCAGAATTTTACTTTGCTCAGATTTGAAATTGCTCAGGCTACCTAAGTGAGTATGACACTTATACAATACTGGAGTTAACACTGGAAGGAGGAAGAACGTGGCTTCTTGAATCTTTGTTACTGCTGGATGATCTGACCTTGAGATGTGACTGTTTCCCATGTGAGTAATGGGTTTTCTTCTGTAACAGAGCAGCATGCAGTACAAGAGCTGACCAAAGCCTCCATGAGTGGCATTGCAATAGATGGAGATGTACTGTCCTGTTTAGAATTGGCTCAGGTTAGTGCACACTGTTCTTTAAAGATATTCTTGCCAACTGTAGCACTTGTTTTAGTTTTTAGCTCTCTTTGTTCTGACTATTACACTTAAGAAACTCAAAGTCCTTAGTTCTGAGAGCAACTGACTACAAAACTGAGTCTTATTTTCTATTGTAAAGAACATTTTTACATTAGTTCAGAGATGAAATATCTATAAAAGTAAACTGGAGGTAGTTTTGTTTCAAATACAAGTTTTAATTTTTCTTGATTATTGAGCTTCCAAGCTCTTAATTTTCATGGCTATGTTGTAATGTAACGGAGCAGTTTAGAAATGGTAACTGGTTCTTGGGTTCCTCTCTGTTTAGTTCCAGTAGATATTTAGATCTGTAGTGTAGCAGCAAAAGTTTTTATATTTTTAAACTTAACACCTAGACTAGCTACTCAGAGCCAGTCTTCTGATAGTTCAGAGTATCTACAAATATTACTGCTTCTTGTTCAGACATATTTCAATGTTTGCTGAGTCCCAGAAACCAAGACTGAACCCTTTTCAAGAAAAGGGCAGCTTACTTCACTTAATTTTATGAAGGGTGTTTTTTGTTTCCTTGCTTGAAGACAGAATTAGGAAGTTTAACTGCTGTTAGGATATCCTCACTGCCCTGTACATGCAACTGCAATGTGTTTATAACCTGAGGTCATAGTAGATAACACCAAAACTGAAACACATGCAATGAAGCTTGATTTGCATTCTAGCTGTTTCTTCCTTATGACTGTAGGAAACTTTTACTAGGTGTTGCATTCAGCTTTCATTAATGCTTGAATTCTGTCAGTGAAGCTACGCTTACAGAAAGTTACTTCAGAGCAGGTTTTGTAATAACTCATAGGTACAAACATAATGGAAAAGTCAGGTCCACCATGCCTGAAGTTCAGGGGAACTAAATGCAGTTTGTGAGATGCTGTGTATACTAAACACCCTTTTATAAGCCTTTTGAGCCACCATGTGCTCCAGCAGAGAAGTATGACAAGGGCTGGAACATCTAGAGGGGAATTCAGCCTCAAAAGCTTCTCTGTGCCCTTGTGAGAGTGCTGCCAGATACAACTCACTGGGGAATCACACTAGCTTTGGTTCTTAGTTAGGACTGTAGAATGAACAATAATCTCAGGACACTGAATAAGCTTCTTGTTTTTCCTTACAGTTTCACAACGCTAACCAGCTGGCAGCTTGGTGCTTGCACTACATCTGCACCAATTACAACAGTGTTTGCTCCAAATTCCGCAAGGAGATCAAAGCTAAATCTTCAGGTATGGGCAACACTTCTCCATTTTCATGAGGCCTCTCTTTCTTTCTCTCCTTCTAGTCCATTCAACACATAGATAGCTCAGCTGTGAGACTGAATGTCAGCACAATTACATGTAGCATTTATACATTCTTTTTATCTATAAAGAAGGGTCATAGTCATTGGCCTGATTCCTAGGCAAACATGATGTTCTTTACCTATTTAAGAGGTGCTAAAAGGAACAGAGTTATTTGCAGGCATCACAATTAAAGATAGGCTCTATAAAAGTCTTGCATTTTTACACTTTGGTCATCTGAGAATTCTCAGACGTGGCTGCTTTCAAACTCTTTTCACCCTGTAAGTAATGCATATCAGGAAACTAGGGGAATTTCTGATAAGCTAGCTAACACAGCGCCTGGATAAATGATTAGTTGCATAGCTTTCTGCAAACAAGGCATCTCTGGGACTTGTGTAATTTACTGGTTGGTTTGTGCTTTGTTTCTTTTTAATCAGATAATCAAGAATATTTTGAGAGGCATCGCTGGCCACCTGTGTGGTATTTAAAAGAAGAAGATCACTACCAACGAGTTAAGAAAGAAAGAGAAAAGGAAGATTTTGCACTGAATAAACACCATTCAAGGCGGAAGTGGTGCTTCTGGAATTCCTCTACTGTAGTTGCCTGAACAGAACACGTAACTGGAAATTCATAGGCAGTGTCAGAAGTTAGTCTTATTGTTAGAAATAAAATGCAGTACGAGTTTTCAGGAAACTTTGTTCCACATCTGTGCATTTATTACTGCTAGTGTCAAAAGCACAAGCCCAGTGAAAGTGAGCCTGGAACAGCTCCTCAAAGTCATATGTATATTTTTGGCTAGTAAGAAGACAAATGTCTACCATTATTACCTTTCTTTTTATATAAAAAATAATAATAGAGCATTAATGTTTCAATCTCCAATTGGGAAATATTTTTATACTGTCTAGTGTATTTTGTTCAGATAAAATTGTGGATTATCATTTACAGACCACAAAACCATGTAGCAGCTTTGTATTAGATTTTAACTATTTTTACTATACGAGTACAGTGAAATAGACAATCCTCAGTCATCAGAAACAGCTTTTAGAGTATCTCATAAAAAGTCATCTTAGGAAAAAAAAAATCAAGATGTCTAGTATAAATGTTGGTTTTGTTATTTTTTTAAAACTAAGTACTGTGCATTTGGTAATATAATTAGATGGGTATTTCTCCTTTCTAAAGTAAGAAGTTAGAATAAGATCCAATAACTGCAAGATACAGAGTGCTTGAACTTTGCTCAGCTGAATAATAGACAATATAATTACCTGTTCAACTGCAGGCAAATGTATTTCTAATATTTGCCCTGTAAGCGCAAATAATTATGACTATGTGAGCCATGTGAAATCTAGTGATTCTAAGCATTCAGAGGTTTTAAGTGTCTAGATCAAAGAGGATATTTCTAAAACCATTTAGAAGGGCTTATTAATTTATATCTTTATAAGTATGGATCTGAATACAGAAAGCAGTTATACTGCTTGCATTTGAAGTACTGCACAGCAGTTACCTTGTTCAATGTGATCTTAACCATGCAGCCTTTCCTCATGCCGAATTCCATTTTACTTCCGTGCAAGCAAATGAAAGGGCTGCAAAAACAACTAAATTATCTAGTATTATAATCTTTTGCAAGTGAAGAATGATCTTCACACACTATCACTTTAGTTTAATCTAAATTGTTTTGTAGGTTTTTCCCTGGTAGAACTCAAAGTTAGGGTTTGAGTAGGTCATGTATTTCCTCTGGAAATATTCTCAGAAAGCTGGGGGCAAAATGAAGGCAGAAAGGAAGGAATTCCTTGAAAGCAATGTCAGAAAAAAAAAAAAAAAAGCCTCCAGTGTTTTCAGATACGCTGGGTGTTTACGACTTTTTATCAACCATTGCTCTAAAGCTGCGGTGTTATGCTAGATTATATAAGAATGAAGCATTTTTAAAAGACCAAAATAAAACATATGGATTGTAGAACATACATGTGCAAACCTGCACAGTGTCTCAGGCACAATTCTGTAACTAAGTTAGGTATTGTATACTAGGTTTGTTAATATTTTTTGTGCTGGTGTCTCAGCATACCAATGTGAAAAGCTGTTTATGTTTTTATGTTCTGTATACACAGGGAAGGCAGTGCAGTCACACCCCCGTGCTGTAGGTCAGGAAAGGCTTTGGACTGAAAGCCATATACACCTCTACCTATTTAGGTTCCAGTTGGAATAATTCTGGGCAGATGCTACTGCAGGGTGGTAGAAGCTGCCTAGCAGGGAAAGAGATGCTGCTCTACAGATTTTTACAAGGCAAGCAAGCAACAGATTCCTATCCCTATAAAAGATTCATCACCATACAGTGATAAAGAAGGGCTATAAATGATAGTTACAAACACTGTCTCCTTAATTCTTGGTCAGTGATGATGGAAATTACGGAGAAGAAAGAATGAGAAAGGATGTGTGAAGGCAAAGATGAGATAAGTATCTGTTGTCATAAAACATTAGCCATTTTGAGTAAGTATTACTACTAGGTTTTACACAACCAAAGCTACTGTATGATTGTAATCTTGCCAAACTAATGGATATATAAGTGAACCTGAGGTATATGCAATAAAATCCAGTTGTGCTAGTTATCAGCTACTGTAACCAAGTGGCTGGTTCATTTGGTTAATGCTGTCTATGGCCTTTAATCTTGGTGGTTACTTTGTGTTTTTTATTTTGCAAAAAAGTCAATAAAAATGTTTAGTTACAAATTGTCTCTCAGCTTTTTTAAGAAGCTTTCTAAATTCCTGAAAAGTCTGCCATGCTTTTTGGAGCTACTTGTAAGCATTCGGCTTCGGTATCATTCAGTGAGATTTGCTGAGCTGGTATTTGCATGACATATTCAGATTTATGGTTGGGAATGTGACAGAGTAGTTCTCTAGTGTTTGTATGTGTTAGGGATGCAGGAAGGTTGGTACTTGTCATTTACTGTTCAACAGGATAACAAAAAACCTCCTGCCACTTTTCCGTGTGGTTTCTGCTGTTTAATTACCATGATATTACCCAAGGGACATGAAACTAATTAGTCAAGACAGACATGGGGAAAAAAATTGCAGGTAAACAGCAGGAAATCCATAAGGTTTTCAGTATGGTTTAAGTTTCCTGCTTTCTCACTACTGAGGTTGTCAGCCGTTGTACAGAATCCTTAATTATCTGTTAGTGGCCTCTCAGCAACTGTGTCCCCAACTACAGATATTGAGATTGATACTAGTTAGAAAGATGTTGCTTTTCTATATATGGTGGTAAGACACAATAAAAAGTACAGCATTTATGATTTTTCTTAAAGCTTTTAGGCAATACAAAAGACACTGAACAGTAAATGCGTTCAGCACACAATGTACAATTTTTCTAAAGTGCTAATTGATAAGATTGTTAATATCAGCAATTTGATACTTCTGGAAGCAATTTTTATCCTTCTGAATTTACTGTTAGAAAAGGTAATGATCTCAACACAAAAAGCAGTGACAAAAAATATGAAAATGCTTCTGATTAAACCAGGAGCATGGAAGGATCAAATCAGAATTGTTGCTTTTCAGGTAACACACACATATATAAATATATTTTAAAAGTATAGGTGAAAATACACACACACACATATATACACATTTAGAGAAAGGTGCATAGCTTTTGTTTCTGGGGAGACGCAGCTTATTTCTTAGAAACAGCATTCTTCTGTTTGTTTTTCTAAGACAGCAAGAACTTCTGCAAGCAAGTAAGGTGTGGCATAGAGTACTTGTATCACAACAAGAGCCAGTGTTTGCAGCTTCCCACCTGCATACAGCACACCAGGAGCCAGAAATAAGGCATTCTGTGAGTAATAAAAGATTGACCATACTTCAGCTGCAACTCACTAATTTCATTTTCTGAAGATGTAGCTGTCCTTGTCTTTCAGTGAGATAAGGTCTCAAGGTGTGCAAAGGAAAGCACTGAATCCATGGATAAAAAGGATTACCTCATAGAAGAGATGAATCTGAACATAACTTCTGAGCACTGAAAGCATGATGGTGTTGCCAGAGGAATTAAGAAGGGAGCAGCACTGTAGTTTATTGGCCTAATTCTACATCAACTTATCTACAGGTATCCACCAAGCGCAGAGCAATTTAAACCTTGAAGTGTTTGATTTGTAAAATGTAGGGCTTTCCCCTTGTTCCCATAACAAGCACTCAGAGTCTGTCGAAAGGCATCTTGGTAATCCTGCTCTGAGGGCCAAGTCTTCCACCTTCTGTACTAAATAGGACTAATTTTGGTATCTGAACTCCAGGAAATGGTGAAATATTTCAGTTCTTCCACACTGAGAAGTGTTGCAGTTCAGTGGAGAGGTTTGCTGACCTTGTCAGATTAAGCCACAGTTTTTGTCTATATTGTCCTTTTTTTTTTTTTTTAAACACAAATCAGTCTTTTGTCATCAGATAAGCTGGCACTTATTTGTTCATATTTGCCTTTCAAGGCACGTACTATGCAGAGATGCCTTAAGGTGGCTTCTTGCCACTCCTGAATCCCCTTAGATTTTTGGTCTATTAAAATGATATAACAGTATTTGCATGAATCTATTTCTCCTGCAGGCAAAATTCCTATTGAAATCAATGAGCAATCCTAAAAGCACACTTCGGGCTCTGAATTGCCACCTAATGAATTTACACATTATCACCTGTCTTTGTTCAAAATCTGCTAACTGAAATTTGCTCTGTGTATTGCATGCAGGATGAAAGCATGTTAGCAGCAATAATCCCCATCCTTCAGGCTCTGCAACAGGATAACTCATTGTCAGCTAGCATATGCCTTTGCCTTCAGGTAAAAGAATATAACCCATGTCAAGATTTGCTTTGCATTAGCAGCCAGAGTAGTGAGACTACTGTATATCTTTCTATACAAGAAATCTAAATCCCTCTCTGCTGCTTACATGAAAATCTTGAGCTTTCGGTAGAAATGTGAGAAGTTTTTGGATCAAGGCTGCAGAAGCCTATGAAGAAAACTTGAACTTGAGATGCACAAGTAACGCTAAAATATCTGAACTCGGAAGAGTGTCCAATGAGAAGATTAAGATGCGATTAAGAGAGAGCAGTTAACATAAAACAAAGTTGTTATGGCTCCTTTATAATTGGCCTTAATATCTCATTTGCAAGCAGACACACTCACTATAACGTCCTGCTGGGCTGTTTTACAGTTATAGATGTGCCCAGTTATAGCTCCTGTGTGTCCTATACACACACATTACAGTGAAAACATTATTTTATATTGCTGATTCGTCTCAAATCCTTTCCCATACTGCACTAAAACCCCAGTCTGTCCTTTGGCCTTAGGAGGAGCCCAGTACCACCTAGGATATCTATTTTTGTCTTCTGAAAGAAGAACATCTTTAACTGTGCAAGCTAGATCTCTCGAAGCTCTTCTACTGACAGCAGTCCCTGTAACAGTGAGTGCCAATAATAAATTTAGGTAGCACTGAGGGCAGCACACATGGAGAAAAAAAAACTTCACTCACCTGCACTTTTTGAAGGTTAACATGCAGCCTTTACTACCATCTGCGCTGAATATTCCCATATTGTTTGTTCACAACACCCTGGCAGACTGGGCACTATCCAGCCTTCTCTCTACCAGTCACAGGAGTCCATTGTTCTGTAGCACACTTCTCATCTCTTGGCTATTTATCCAAATTTACCATAGTTGCTCTTTAATTCGCAGCAGCAGATTTGAAACAAGTGTTTGTTTTTTTTCAGGACAAGCAATACCTTCCTCTGATCTCTCTCTTCTAGGTGCCCAGCTAATCATAATCAATTCAGTTCTTCAATGGCTCATCAGATATAAGCCAACTGCTCCCTTTCCACTGCTTCATATACTGCTATTTCCTTTCAGGAAGATACCACCAACGTAAGATACCTTCTCTTTGAATTCCCTTTTAGCCTTAACTGTAACACTCAGGAAAGCCATTTTTCCCTTGTCCATTCACAGCTATATTGTCATCTTCTGACTTGACAGAATTTGAGTGAATGCTGATCAAGTCAAAAAACATTTGATTTGGGCACTTGAAATTTAATAAATATGCTTTTTTTTTTTTAATATACAGGCTACATTTGGACATAGAGAAGGCAGACTGGCAAAATCACTATTTTTGTGTTGAATTGTCTGCACATTTGCAAAGAGTAGCACAGTAGGAAGCCAGAGGGCTCCTCAGGAAGAGGTAGAGGGCTCAGAAGGCAGTCATCTCTATTACAGTAAGGGCAGTGTTCAGCCTGAGATGGAAAAAAAAAAAATTGGCTAAGCCAAAACTCACAAAAGGTGGAAAGGCTATCAGGGAATCACCAAGCACTTGTCTGCTGTGACTGTTCCTGTGACCTACCCTAGCGAGGCTTCCATTTCTATGTGGAAATACTGTCTGCTACTTCCTGCCCTGTGCGATGGGTAGACTGCATGAAGTCTGCTCTTTTATCTGGTGTCAGTTCAGGAGCTCATTACTTACCTGCTGATGGCAAGGATGGGTACAGCCTGTGAAGGGGAAAGAGAGAAAGCAGAGGGATTGTGCGTCTGTCTATGGAAGATGGTTATGTTCTCACAATGTTCTGTGCAAAAAGTTTATTAGATGGGACCAAATCCATAAAGCTATAGATGGAAAGACCGCAAAATGGAAGCCCCTTTGAGCACAGTAATCACAACCAGGTGCCATCACCTGGGATGAAAATAGACCAGTCCTGCCCTATACATGTAATGAATGGTGAAACCTGTCCCCACAATCTCCAGCAAATGCCAGTCATTATTTTGGGTGATGCTAAATAACTGTAAAGCATAGTATGAATAAGATGCCTGTCAGGGATTTTAAGCAAGCGCTTAAGCAGTATGTTAGACTCAGTGTTGTGACTCTCAGAATCAACTGTGCTGCACTGCTCCTTGGGTGTCCATATCTGTACAGTAGCATGTTAAAAGGCAACAATGAACAGTAGTAGCAGGGAGATGTGCCTTTAGGTATAGCGCTGCTGGTGAACAGGCTGGTGGCTGCATCCTGCCACCACTTCTGCCCACCCTCTTTGTTCATTCTTTTCACACACAAGGCTGACAAAGCTCTGACACTTATTGCAATATACATTTCTTCTACTGAACAGGGAATAATCTTTTATTATTATATAAGCTTTTTCAATTTTCTTTAGGCCTTTTACCACTCTACCGGTGTGGCATAATTTATTTTGTTGAATGAGTTACACACATTAAAGTGTGCAAAGCTGTATTTATATGTCTCTGATGAGTTCTTTGCTGGCTAGTTGATCAGCATTTTCGTAGCTTTTGCAGTGCAATTTTTCACCTAAAAATGAGACTTTGAACCCGCTGACTTCTGCCACCACATTCCAATTCTCAGTTCCACATAGATGACAGACAGCCTGGCATCCTCCCTGGAGTGGAAGCTTCTCAATACTGTCCAGAGCAGCTGAAAGCCCTTAAAACAGCAAGCTACAAGTATCCCTCAGAGCTTCAGTTAGTTTTCTGGCTTTACATCCTTAGTTTAAGTTACATCTCTTTACTTATATATAAGATCTATATTTAAAGATGTTTTTTAAAAGAGACAGTCTAGGCTCTGTTTACAGTTGCCTTTAAGAATTATTCCTTCCTCCTCCCTCTTTTAGCTTAAGCTTTTCTTAAGCTATGTAGCAAAGCTTAGACATTGTGTGTGATTAAAGATAACTGAGGGTACACTCACATCAAAGTAAAGGGAAAACTTCATACACAACAAGTACTACCATCACTGCTGAGAGCTTACACAGAGATTCAGGTAGGACAAAGTGAGTTACAGTCAGAGCTGCCAGACTAGGCCAGCCCTTACTGTCCTGTGACAAAGAAGGAGCAACTCTTCCTAGATAGTCTGATAGCAGATTGCAGTCACGCACAGAACATTGCTTCATCTACCATAAAGACCCTTTGGGAAGTACCCAAGTTCAGCTGAGAATGACACTCATGCAGAGGTGTAGTGCCAGTTTTTAACTGAAGACACAAGCCTTAGGGAGAACATTTGCGTAAACATTATCTCTGTCAGTACTAAGCTGGTTATCAAGAAAACCACTGTTTTTCCTAAAAATAGACTGAGGATATAAAGTTCAGGGAGAGCGGAGTCTTTCATCCTTGCCCTGTGTTAGTAACTTGCTGTGAGTGCATACTGAGCCCTTGAAAACATGATATGCACTTCAATGTCTTTTGGAATAGGGGGAGGAAGAAGGAAAATGCTAGTATTTAAGCAAGGCTGAACAGAAGGTGGTAGGTGAGGCTTGTGCTTAAATGCACAACTGCCACCTCTAGTCTATTCACCCACATTTGCTTTAGCTGAGGAGGATGCTTGCAAGCCTCACTCATGCACACAGCTCTTCTTGCACACCCACCCTCTGACCTCCAGCTGCAGGAAAGCACTGGAGCAGCTCATTAAGCACTATCACAGGTGAGCTGCTAGGACAACCTTTATACTCATTGCATTTGGATGCAAGCCAGTCACCAAATGGCTTATTTTTCACCTTGCTTTCTCCTGAGCTGAGCACTACATATTAAAGCCTACCTCACATCAATTCTACCTTTGCATAGCTAGCTACCGCATAGCTTTGCGAGTAGTTACAAGAGCTCCCA